AGTCCAACACTCAAAATTTAACCTCCTCACCCTTTCAGGCCTAAGGGCACTCAAATCCCCCCCTCAGACCACTCAAATCCCACAAGCTCAATCTAAAATCAAGACCAAATTGGAACCGGACCAGTTCAAGACCGGACCGGATCAAAACCAGATTGTATCCAATCCAACTTTTGGTCCTTATATTCTCGAAAAGACCGAACCGGGACCGGATCAATTCGTGCCAATTTAACCGGACCGAACCGTATAACCACCCCTATCGTAATTATTAAATCCATAAGCCACGTCTTCTAAAATCGCCGAAAAATAACTTGTTGCCTTCTATTTTTTTAATAGAATTTGTTGGACGCTTGAAATAATAATCGAGAACATTTAAATTGATATATGAAGGTTTATGATCACCTCTCTCGATGAAAGTCAACGCAATGGCGTTCGAAATCATAAACTCGTGAATGGTTTTATGAAGATTGTTGATGAAGAGGAGGTTAAAATTCGATGTTTAGTTATGAACTGCTAGATGGTGGAGTAATGGGTTGTCGCTTTGATCAATTTTGTACTCACAAGTAAAATTCAAATTGAATCATATTCTTCAAACAACCGTACTTTTAGTTGGATTAAATATCAAGAATGCTTACAACTAAATGAACCTATTGGTAACCCTATAATCATATTGAAACACTCCTCGCGACTAAGTTAACTCATTGATCTGATCAAGGGTGATATATGTTTATTTTTTATTATTAAGTGATACTTAAGTGATTAAAATTTGGACCTAATACATTCAGTTCAAAATACTAGTAATAAAATTGTTAGACCAAATCCTTATTCGCGATATAATGTTCGATCTTCTTGTTATGAGTTGCGACCCAATGAGACAAATATATATCAATCACGGCAATCCCCATACACATGGTAGCAGCCAAAGAAAAAGATTACTGACTTATAGTCCTTAAGCTACTAATTAATTATATCTTCCCAACAAAAACTTGATCGAGACATGCGTGATGTTAACTTATTAGGCCAATGAAAGGGAAAAGTGTAAAATAAATAAATAATTGTTGGGTGCTCCATTAATTAATTGCTTTGTCCTTATATATTCTTCAAATATGAAATTATGCCGAAGTTTGATAAGAATAAAATAACCAAGGATTTCTACTGGGAAGAAATAAAAAGATAACAGAAAATGGAATAGTATTTTTTATTGTTCAAGGGAAATACTAATTTTAAGACTGAAATTAATTAAAATTAGTGGGGAGGTGATCATACTACACAACACTCCCAGTTGTCTTTGTGCTCTCATTTTAGCAAGTGGGTTTAATGGGAATTAGCTGCAACTTGTAATTAAGAATATAATATTCGGTTAATTAATTAGTTAATTTTAAAACCTAATTACAACAGAGAAAGGGAAGCATCTCGATTTGTTTAATGGGGAGCACTGTACAAAACTAGTTGAACTTGGTGACCCCTTTTTTTAATTATCATTCTTTAATGCCCTTTCCAGTGCAATGAAAGCCGTAATAAGTAATTATGATGATCTAAAAAAGTTGATTAGTTGATTAATTAGTGGTCTTAATTAGGTTTGACGAGGTCCACATTCTGTCCAAGCATGAATTTATGAATAGTTTATTTCATTCTCCTTAGCGTCAAGTTGGTGAGGCATAGCACAAGTTGTGCTGCAAAGCTCCAATTTTTTGTTGTCTCAAGTAGATATATTCCACAAGTGTTTGATGGGATAGGCAAAAGGTTTAACAGGGAGTTAGGCTTAATGATTAAGTATAATTACTTTTTATAAATTCTTTTTTGGAGGGGATGATGTTGATAGCCTCCAATTCTAAGACGAGGCTGATGTTTTCATCATCATTTGATCAATTTGATAAGTTTAATTTGATTATGAGAGCTATAATTGACAATCGATCTTGAAATTTATAAAAACGATATACTAAATATCTACAAGCAATGCATCGAAACGTTGATGAATATTAAATACATTCAACGTTTATAAATCAACATAATATGTGAGAATGTGTTTACAAGGGCGCATGGCCGTTAGATCGAGTGCATGGTGCTCCGTAGCCATTGGATGACAGTGGTGACAATTTTTTAAATAAATTGTTCATCGCTTCCATCCAACAACCGTAGAGTGTATAATGCGTGATCGTACGAAGAATCAGCATCTTACGAGCACGTTCTCATATGCACCTAACAAGAATGCTATCCCAATGGTCTGTCTATCTACCCTCATCGAGGCACATCCATAAAGCAAAAAGCTTGTCAATAACTAGTCGGTCCCAAGATGCTGACTTGTTAGGGACTAGGGAGGTTCAATTATAGATCATATACCACTTGCACCAGCGGCGGATCCAGGACAGAGTAGAGCACTGGGCCACCTTTGAAAAAAAGCGGAGAGGGTTGGGCCGCAACGTGAAAAACACCGAAACGAATACCAAAATCGGAAATTACAAGTGATATACTAGCTCGAGATCCAGAGGAGGGCTGTGCCACGCCCCCCTGGATCCGCCGCTGACTTGCACACATATGAATACCTCATATTGTTGGGAGAGATTCAGTCATAGATCATAGACTACTTACTAACACACTCCCCTCAATTGAGAACATAGTGATCATATGAGTTTACACTTTGCAAATATATGAATACCGAGTGTTTAACAAATGCAATCAGGTAATTCGACCGAAAAACCTCTATATTACAGAAGGATCTCATCGAATATAAAAAATCAATTGCCCTTAATAATTCGAATGGTTGAAAAAGTTTCTATTTCCACCGAGTTACAAAGCTAATTACTTGGCCGCCCAAGAAGGTCGTCATACGATTCAATGTGAGGGCCATACCATACCATATCGCGGTTTCACACAATTGAGAGAAAAAAAATGTTACGACAAAGCTTGCAAATGAAGGCAAACACGAAGCAAGTGCATGGACGGAGTACAGATAGCGCGTGGAGAGATAAAGCCTGACACGCGATAGACTGATGAATGATAATAATAAGTTAGTTGCTGAGAGAGCACTGTCCAGCCCACGCAGGCACCAGATCTTTTTTGGCCCTTTGGGTGCATTCATTCAACCTTCCTCCTCCTCCTCATCAACTTGCAATATTCTCCTCCCAAAATCGAATGAAAATTATAAGGAAATTAATTGGAAACTAAAATTAACAAACACTAGCAAAAATGAATGACAATAAAAATTAAAAACAAACATAATTTCCCAAGTTTCATGGGCTTGACTTGCTAGCTTACTGATCCTTAAAGTATAATTTCATAATCCATCAACAATTGGATAACCAGTGTAGCTGCCTGTAAGTGGTGTAACGACGATAAATTTTGACGATTTTTGAAGCGTTTGATTTGAATTCATGCATTTCCCTTTTGTTATTTCTCCTTCCGGTTCCACGCAGTAGTCATGCATGTAGATGTTATTTATCGAGTTGAAACTTAGAAAGTTCAAAACTGAGGACAAGTTTTTTGTCTGGAATAAAAATGCATTGGTGTATATGAACTAGTGAAAAAATTGAAAGATAGAGAAGGGGTTTGAAATCAAATAAAAATTATACTTAAATATTTCATTTGATCTGTCTGATATGATTTCATTTACGCTTTTGTTTTCTCAGTATTTGCGAATAAAGACGGGACGAAAAAATCGAATCGAATAAAAGTATATTCTATTAAATTATGGCGGAACTATATCTAATCAATGCATCAATGAGGTTTGGTTGGATCCAAATACATTATAGTCTTGTGTATTTTATAATCCGCGGGCGCAACATCAATTTTTATCTTGTTTCTTTTGGCAGTGATTCCTTATTCATTTTAAAAACTAATTTTTACCATTAGTGTTTGTCATCCGGTAACGACTTAGACTTGAACTGTGTTCATTTTCTAATCCAATTAGCAGTGTTGTCAACTTGTCATCGTAAAAAAATACAAGTAACGAGAAATATATATCTTGAAGATAAGTTTATGTATATACAAGGAATTTAACTTTGCACCTCTAAGTTAACTTCTTCATTTACCATATGATTTCCCTATAATTCCACACCATCCCCTCGTAAATTTAAGAAGAAACCATCAATTACATCACCCTGCCTGTTTCTGTAAAAAATTAATATCTGAGAGAGAAGCAAATAAAATATTAAAAATCCCCCCTACGTCCTACGATTTTTTTATATATAATATTAATTATAATAATTCACTGTCTGCGGGATTTTTTTATTTTTTATAAATCTCAGCTATAAATCAAAGGTCCCGAACTCGGAACCCACTTCTTATTTTCTCCTTTATGGGTGCATTTTGGCTGCTCTATTACTGCTCTGCTTGTAAAGTTCCGTCTTCTTCTTCTTCTTCTTCTTCTTCAGCCATCACTCTCTGTTTCTCCTGTTTTCCCCACAATCGATATTAGGGAAACAGCGTTTCTCTACTCTGTGGGATCTTCAGACCGATCTAACGAATTGAGCGTCGGAAAATAACTTGAAATAGAATGTATGCCGAGCCAGGGATACTGTTTCCCTATTTGCAGAACTACTCCCAAGATTACCAGCAACTCGAGGAGTACTGCAAGCACCAGGAGGACAATGCTTCAATGGTACGACCCCTCTGTTATTTTTTACTGCTTCTTTTTGGTTTTTTGTGCTCTGTTGAGATATCTGAGAAATGGGTTGTGAAGAATTCAGCTGGGATTCACTTGGGGTCGGTGTTGATTTGGCTTGAGTTGTGGGTAGGAAGAGCTCATCAGTTTTACAGATCTTCAGGGTTTGGTAAAGGGGACAAAAATCTTTACACCATTGCTGACTAGGTTTTCCACTTCCCCCTGTGTTGAAATGGAGGGCTTCGTTCTGTGCTTTGCTTTCTTTGTCTCACTTCGCAATGTTTCCGAGCACCTGAAACCATTGAGCTAAAATGGAAACTAGGGAATTTCGCTTTTATATCCCAATTGGATCTGGAAAGCTTAAAGGAGAGGAAGAGGGGAGTACAAACTACAAAGTAGGAAAGTGATTTCGCTGTCCGAAGCTCCGTGTTCTTTAAGCTTTGTTCCATTTCTTTCTCCCTTCTCTTCATTGTGTGATGTGAACCAGTAGTTTGGTTTTTCTTCCTGCCTTTTTGCTTTTATGAAAACATTCACGCCCACCCAGAAGCGTGTTTACAGAGAAAGGAAGGGAGGGGAAAGTTTGGAAAATCCCAAAAGAGGAAAGTTATCTCCATCTTTGTTTGCCTGTCTGGCTTTAATTTGTGGAAACCAACTAACCAAGCTTTGCTAAAAGGACAGACATGGGTGAAACCATGGTTTCCTCCTTCTTGAAAGGGGCTGCTCTTCAATTTTGCTTTAGCCCCCATGTTCAAGTGTTTAGAGGTCACTGTTTCAGCTGTTTTACTGTCCGCCCTTCAGCAGTATAGAGTGGCCGTACTTGTGGGTTTTCAGTTGTTTTTCTTTCCTTTTGTAGTTTAATGGTGGGTTGTGTTACTCTTAACCTTTCATGAATCTAAACCCATAGAGGAACTGATAGAGGAAGGGATACGAGAATTCAGCTGCTTGATTGGATGTTTATGATCGTTTTCATTTCTGGTGTATGGCAGTTTGGATGATTGAGAGGGTTAAAGCTGTCCTTTCGTTGATATGTGATCGGATTTAGTGATAAGTATTTCCCTTACTTCTCAGATACTTGTCTGAATACGGATCACAAACTTGTTAGCTCCTTATTGGCCTTCTGGATACTGTTTGATCTTTTAAATTGCAGCCAAATCTTTGGAGGCCAACAAGATTGTTGAAATTGTGTAGTCAGCATTAAAATCAAACCCAGTTTTCTACTATCAAAGGTTAATTTGCTTTCTTCCTTTTTGTCTATTGTAGAGCAACCTGATCTCATCCTCAAGCATATACGAATATGACCTGGGAGGGGATCTATTCAAAGCACCAGAACCGATCATCGAGGAGCCAATCATGGGCCTTGATCCGATGACAGCAGCCATTTCCATGATATCTTGTGAGGAAGAAGTCCTTACTCCATCTGGACTCGGAATGGCTGCTAGCCTTGACGACATTCAAAACCAGCAGCTTCTCAGCGATGTCTTCTACGACTGCAAGAAAGACCTCATGGAAATGGCAGCAGCAATAGACTCCCCGCTCTCGGATGTTCTGGATATCAAGTCCCCTCTCTTGAGAACCAATGAAAAACAGGTCCAAGACCATGAGTTGGTCCCTGATCTAGGGTTGTCAAAGAGTGTGAGCTCGGAGTGTCTAAGTGCGATGGATTGGATACCTGGAGGTTCCGTGAAGCCTAGTTTCCTGGACTTCCCTGGGATTGATTTTAGTTCTGCTTATGGGATGCGAAGAGCATTCAGCGAAGGTGATATCAAGGTAAACGAAGACAGAATGGTCTCTTTTTATCAGTATCATTATATTGCCCTGTTACATTGTATGGTTATATTCTTGTTTTCATGAACTAGTAAGAGTTAGGTTTGCCAATCCCTTAGGTTAGAACTGTAGAACTAAAGGATCACTGTTGGTAACAGATATTTTTCGTCACTTCTTTTGTCTTGATAAGTGATGATGAATGAGCTTCAATTCAGCTGAAATAAGTTGTCAACTAGAGTAAATAGCAGAAGTGGAGGTGTATGAGAAAAAAACTATTAGAATGACTGGACAATTGTGAAATGATTAAGGGTTTCACAATTTATTGACTTTTTATAGGATAGATCAAATTGTTAACAATTGTGAGTTGCGTGAAATGACTAAGTGGGTTTCACATCAGTTGGAATTTGGAAGTTAGAACGATCTATTCATTCAGAAGTTGGCTACTAGAGATCAGCTGATGGCATCGACTGATGCCTAATTGCCTACAATGAACCGGAGTTTACATGGGCCTTTTGGTTGAAAGGATAACCTGAACTCTTCCTGCAAAAATTCCAAGCATAACTGCTGCAGAAAGGCGGACAAAGTTATATGCATAGCAGCATAGACGATAAATTCAATTCAGAATATGGCTCTTTTCTTTTCAGTTACTCTAATACCATATTTCTCTGTGGCAGGCTCTTGGAAATGGAAACGTGGGTCACATCCATTCTCCGCGGCCACTGCTCATTAGCAGCAACTCCACTTCTGAAGCCCGGATGGAAAAGCTTTCGAGGTACCGAAACAAGAAGAACAAGAGGAACTTTGGCAGGAAGATCAAGGTAAATTCATCCTATCAACCAGCTGTTTCTTGTTTGATCAATACTGCGAGCAGACTGTTCTGTAGCTCTCCACCATTGAAACTCAGCCACATGTTGTTTTTGGCTTTCTTTTTCTTCAGTATGCCTGCAGGAAGGCCTTAGCAGACAGCCAGCCGAGGATCCGTGGAAGGTTTGCCAAGACAGAAGAATCTGATGTGATCAAAGGACAACAGCAGTGACCAATCTCTAGCTAACCTTGCTGCTGCTGATGAAGGAACCAACCAGTTGAAGAAAGTGTAGGTATGAAATAGTTTTTAGTCCCTATGAGGGGAAAAATCTAAGTACTAAGTAGTAGTAGTAGTAGTAAGGGCTGCCTAATCTGTAATCAATGGAGAAAAAGAAAAAGAGAAGCTAGGTATTTAGTGTTGGAATAAACTTACTTCCGCCTCAGCAAGGAAAAGCCAAAAAGAGAGAGTTTAGTAGTTTGATTGATTCAGCCTCTGTGATTACCTCGAATCTGTAGACCAGGAATATGGCTGTTTAAGTGTAGTAGAAAGTTTGTATATATGGTGGTGGATGGTGTGGAATAAGACGGAAGGAGGAAGGGCAGATTTGTAATCGATCTTGTTATATGCATTTGTTTTATTTATGTAATGACCAAAAATGTTCTTCATTTTATTTTCTTTGGGGTGAAAATACACAGCAAAAGAAGTAAAATCGGGACATTCGATAAAATAGATGTATCTGAGTCAACAAGTATATACAATATCAAATAATTGACATGTACTTAAGTCAACAGGTAAAATTAGTTTCAAAGAACATGTAAATTGAAAAGTATATCATGGCTATAATGTGTGTCTGAGTTGAATATATGTTATTAGTGTGCTCAATAAAATCAGAACGAAACATCAAAAGTATAAGTCAAATTAGTACACGATCTAAATTAAATAAAAGACATTTACCAACTAATTATGTTCGAGCGAGGATAAAATTTTATCAACTTTTTCGTTTCTTACCGTAAATAATTTGATTCTCACGGAATAAAATCTGAATTTCCAGGTTAAAACTCCAATGTAATGAAGGGTTTATTTGTCTCCCTGTGTGTCCTTAACCCAAACCCAAACTTGATTCAATCAGCAAAGCTTCACGTTTCACCTTCATGTGGCTTCAACTTCAATCTTTCGCTTTTCTCCGCCGTAGGAAAGACTCCGGCTACTTACACACCCACCAAAACTAACTAAACAAAGCAACCCCAACAAGCTAAATCTAGCCACCGATAAATACTCGACGCGCCGCCGGTTAGGTCCGGTTAACCGGAGACAACCAGTTCTTTCTCACCGGAAAAATCGATCTGAAGTCACGGACACAGACCGAATTACCCACTCTACCCCTCCCTTACTAAATAGGCACATTAAAAAGTTGTCTCTTTTGTTTAAAGTCCAAACCAACAGTGTTATGTTGTACACCTCTAAACCATTCAAGCTCCCGCCATCCCCAAAAATGGCGTCCAGCACACAAAAGCTTCTGCTCCCAAACACCGTACCTTCGACCCGAAATCTGTCGACGACGGCTCGACGCAATCTTTATTCTTCTCATCCAACGATGTCGGCACGCGTTAACACGACTTTGGAGCGATTGCTTCGATAGTGTGTGGATGAACTTTGGGAAAGTCGGCCCCCATTGCCACGTTACGGTATCGTCCCGTTCCCGCTCACCGGCAGGGAATTTCGCTCCAATTTTGTTCCAGCAATTCATTTTTTTTTTATAATCGCTCGCGGCGAATGAGTAATGAATGACTAATGAGTCATTTATCTTTTTATTAATAAAAATTTTATCGTGTTTTATTTTCCCCGTCTTTCTTTTCACTCTGTTGTTGCGAGCGGGGAGTTAGAGAGAGAAAGATAAGAGAGAGAGAGGGGGGGAGACAGATCTCTGGTTCGCTCTTCTTTTTTCTTCGGGCCTGCAATTTCTCATTCCGCGCTACCGGTTCGTACAGGTTCTCCTCTTCGTTCCGCCTCATTCCTCCATCGCGATTCGTTCCTGATTGTGGCTCTGTTTTCTTGCTTCCTTCGCGTTCGTGGATAAGTACGACGACTTCTCTCTCTGTTGCATCGTTTTGTCTCTCTGTTTTTCGTTTCCGTTCGTGGAATTCGTTTCGAATTAGGGTTCCGGTGAATGTGAGACCAGTGAGGGAGAGGAGATTCGTTTCTCTAGCTCGTTCGAATTTGGAAATGCGCGGTCGTTGAATTTGGTTATTGTGCTCTGCGATTGAGAGGACTCTCTCTTTTGCGAGCTTTTTCTCTCTTTCGGCGGCTCCGCCGCAGCGGCGGACGACGAGGAGGAGGAGGGATGATAATCAAGCGGGACTTGAAATCGCGAATGCCGAGTCTCAAGCGGTGTAAACTCGAGGAGTCGGGGTGTGAGCCGGACGATACCTCGGCTTCGTCGCGGAAGAAGAAGAGGAAGCTCGGCGGCGACGGATACTGCCCGCTCAATTTCCTCGGCCAGGTCGCCAACGGCGTGATTCCTGACGGATTCCGTGGGATTCTCGGCGGAGGTCACCGGGGAGGAGGTTTTGCGGCTTCGTGGTGCACCGAGGTGTCGTGCTCGTCGCCCGGTGAGGAGGAGTTGGAGTCAGACTCGCAATTGGAGGTTCCGGCTGCCGTCGGAGGAAGTAGCCGGGCTGCGGCGGCTGAGGTTTCACGACCCCCGGTTGTCCGGACGTCCAGAGGCCGGGTTCAGGTACTCCCTTCCCGGTTTAACGATTCAGTGATTGAGAATTGGAGGAAAGAGGAGAAGGCTAGTACTAGTTTGCAGGATGATAGCTTGGAGGATGATGTTGTCCAGTGTGATGCCAGTACCAGTAGGAAGTTGAAAGAGAGAGTAAAGTTCAGCTCGAAAACTCCTAGGATAGTTGCTAGTAATGCCAGAAACCAGCGGAATTACGACAGGGTTACTAATTTCCACAGTAGTAAAGGAGCGGTTACACTATTTGACGAAGAAGACAGTCTAGAAGTGGAGTACAAAAGCTTCGACATGAAAAAGTATTCCAGTTCTCGAAGTACACTAACGTCGCTGCATGAGCAATTACCGGACGATGACAAATGTGGAATCGTTGCTGTAACTGGCAGCGCAGAGAGGTATAAGAAGAAAGACGGGTTGTTTGGGCCTGAGGACTTCTACTCCGGTGATATTGTCTGGGCAAAGGCAGGGACGATGGACCCATTTTGGCCGGGCATTGTGATTGACCCCATGACTCAGGCACCGGAGCTGGTTCTAAGGTCTTGTATACCTGACGCAGCTTGTCTAATGTTTTTGGGCTATTCTGGGGACGATCAAAGGGTAGGAACTAATCACTCTTTTTCATCTGAGCCGGCTTGTTTGTTTGCCGTTCCTTGACTGATATGCTGACTAATACTTGTGCTTTCTGATCTTCACCAGGATTATGCTTGGGTGAAGAGAGGCATGATCTTTCCATTTATGGATTTTGTTGACAGGTGTTGTAGATTATTTATTATTCAACGGTTCCAGGATGTCTGATGTAAGATCTGGAAAATTTTAAGCCCTTCTTTTGCTTAATACAGGTTCCAGAAGCAGCCATTGAATGACTACAAAGCCAGCGATTTCCAGATGGCAATCGAGGAAGCGTTCATGGTAGAACAGGGATTTACAGAGAAGTTGATGCAGGAAATAAATCTGATAGCTGGAAATACCGCTTGTGAGGAACCGGCATTAAGATGGTTACAAGAGGCTAGCGGTTCAAACCAATATCAGGATTCTCAATCCCCAAACCAGGCAAGTATCCTGATATCCTTGTCTGACTGCATCGTCTTCCTTCATCTTTGTGTTTCATCCCTGAAGCTTTTCCTGGCTATCAGCAAGTATGCTGCATACCAGAACAAAACTTCCCACTATTTTATAACCATTGTCCCTCTTTTCTGTTTTAGAGATGTTTGGATTTCCTGAGTAGTCAGTACTCTGGAGTTAAAGAATTGATTATACGTCATGACTCATGATTAAATGATTGCATTGTCATTAGTCAGTACTCTGTTGTCAATACACCAGTCATAAGGGGATGGTTGGACCTATTACTTGAAAGGTGTTTCCTATTGGGTCTATGTCATTATATTTCCTTATCAGATTCTGTTGAAAACATTTCACTAGATCTTAGTACAAGAACAGAATCAAGTGGACCCAACTCTACGTGTCTGAGGTTGTTGGGAATGGAGTCTCGTGTGAGGGTTCCAACTTCAATTTAAATAAATATGTGCGTCTAATTGATGTGTGAGCTTTTCAATTTTCTTTGTTACTCTAGGTGATGTTCATGAAGAAGAAGAATAAGTGGTCTTGTGAAGGATGTGGGATATATCTGTCTCCTAAATTGTCGAAGAATACAAAATCTCCAAGTCCAGGAGGCCAACTCTTATGCAAAACATGTGCCAGGGTGAGAACTACAGATGTTGTCTATGAGCCTTCTGAAAAACTAGCTTGCTTCATGTTGGTTGTTGTAACTTCAGAATTTGTTGCAGTTAACCAAGTCAAAACATTGCTGTGGAATATGTAAAAAGTTCTGGAACCATTCGGATAGTGGGAGCTGGGTGAGTAATTTTTTATGTGGTATCCTTTTTGCTTCTTGTTTGCACAGCTATAATCTCTTTTTTCCTGTCCACTCTGAGTAGGTGCGATGCGATGGGTGTAAGGTTTGGGTTCATGCAGAATGCGATAAAATTTCCAGAAATCGATTTAAGGTATTTCTATAACGTATCATCATTGTTACTTGGCATTATCCTCATTTGAGCATTTTATTTTTTTCCCTGTGACACAATGGGAACACCAAAGGAAGCTTCTAATTCTCTGGACCAATGCTTCAATTGCAGGACCTGGGGGCAACTGATTATTACTGTCCTCCTTGCCAAGCAAAGTTTAATTTTGAATTGTCTGATTCAGAAAGATGTGAGCCAAAATCCAAGTAAGCTGTTCATTTGGGTTCTAAAATTTCCTGAATTCTGGGATGTTCAAATATTCAAGTCTTGAGCCCATTTTGCAGGTCGAGTATCGGGAAACAACCTCCACCTAACAAAGTTTCTGTAATATGTTCCGGTGTAGAAGGCATATATTACCCAAGCTTCCACATGTACGCAATTTGTTGGTGTTCTGAATTCTTTTCTGTTTCTAAAAGCTAATGGTCAAAACTCAATATTGTGTGTAGTAGCTTTGAAGGAGCATTAGATGGCATTAGAGAAATTCATTATGCTATTGAGAAAGCTGTTTTAGTAATTTGATTTTGTATCTTTATCTGATTTGCTTGTTCTGGATTCTGGTGGGGGAGTTTGTTGGCCTTCACATGTCGGCATCTCTTTTTTCACTTAGCTGTTTGTATAACTTTCATGTTGTAGGGTTATCTGCAAATGTGGAACCTGTGGGACCGAGAAACAACCGCTGAGTGAATGGGAGAGGCACACGGGTTCGAAAATTAGAAATTGGAGGACCAGCATCAGGGTCAAAGATTCCATGCTGCCTTTAGAACAATGGGTGAGTCTGGATCCATATGTATAATGATTCTTTGATCATTTGACAAACATGTATCTCTCTTTGTCCAAAGTGATTTGTGCTTCCTTTCCAATTTTCTCACTAAGTCACCTGAATTAGCAGATGATGCAGTTGGCAGAGTATCACGCACGCACTGTATCAACTAAACCTTCAAAAAAGCCTTCCATTAAAGAGCGGAAGCAGAAACTGCTGGCCTTTCTGCAAGGTATTTCCTGTTGCATCTGGGAGACCTTGCAAACACTCTTATTAGCCTTTATTGGATTCTCTAATTCGGTACTTGATTGATGGTCATGCTGTTCTGCACATCCAACAGAGAAATATGAGCCTGTTCATGCCAAGTGGACAACTGAACGTTGTGCTGTATGTAGATGGGTTGAAGATTGGGACTACAACAAAATTATTATCTGTAACAGGTATGTCTTTGTCTAGTACTCTGTCTCTGTGGGAGGGAGTACAATAGATCAATGCATGCTCATTATGTTTCATGAACATGTTTGTAGTTCATATTAAGAGTAGAGGCTATACAATCTCATGCTTGTTATTGCTAGGGCCATGATATTTTTGTCTGATATACATGCTTTAACTGCTTTTGCTATTAAGAATTTAAGATTAAATCTGACGAGCTGGCTGGCTAATCAGATGTTTGGCTTAAACACAGGTATAATATTAATGAAAGTATGGGAACTAACAGTGTGATTGATATGTGTCTCCTTCTTTGCATGTATACCAGATGTCAGATAGCTGTTCATCAGGAATGTTATGGAGCAAGACATGTACAGGATTTTACTTCATGGGTTTGTAAAGCATGTGAAACTCCTGAAATTAAGCGAGAGTGCTGCCTTTGTCCTGTCAAAGGTCAGTGTGTTTATGGATTTGAAGTTCATAGTGCAACATGGTACCTGTAGCATGCTCGTAATCAGTGCGAATTAGTTTTCCCTGTCTTGGTCTTATTATCAGCACTGAGAGAGGTCATTTTTTTAGGTTTTCTTGCTTGCGAATGTCCTAGTTCTGCCTGCATCACTCTGTTCCATTTTACTTTCGACTCTGATATTTTTCTTGGTATTCATGATTTGTGGAATTTACTAGGCGGTGCTCTGAAGCCAACCGATGTCCAGACACTGTGGGTCCATGTTACATGTGCTTGGTTTCGACCTGAAGTTTCTTTTGCTAGTGATGAAAAGATGGAGCCTGCTCTTGGGATTTTATGTATTCCTTCAAATTCTTTTGTGAAGGTACAACTCAATCCAGCATTTGATCTTCAGCTTTGTGAACTATATAATTTGTATAGTGCCTGTAGTATAGTCATAGAACATGTGTTATGTATCAGTGATATAACTTATTTTTGTCTGAGATATGATCCATACATGGTATTTAATTTACTTGCATTGGCAAATTTGTTTATGGAAATTTGAACATGTTTTGGTTTTGGGCGTTTCAGATTTGTGTCATTTGTAAGCAGATACATGGGTCATGCACCCAATGCTGCAAATGTTCAACTTATTACCATGCTATGTGTGCTTCACGGGCTGGTTATCGCATGGAGGTGAGAGAGTTACTTTCATTTGTTATTTGTTCTTTTTGCACATATATGGATGTGATAGCATCCTACTATTTTGCCATCTGGGAACTTATTTGCATTACACATACACAACATCCATAGTCCATAACTTCCTGAACTTTTCATGTATGCACCTTAAATTGCAGTTGCATTGCTCTGAGAAAAATGGAAAACAAATGACGAAGATGGTTTCTTACTGTGCATATCACAGGTATAGAAGTTAAAAGCTTTAACTGGATTTTCTATAGGTTAACAACGCCTCATTATCTTTTCACTGATAAATGTTGTTGTGATTATTGCTTCAGGGCTCCAAATCCAGATACAGTCTTGATTATACAGACTCCTGCAGGGGTATTTTCTGCCAAAAGTCTTCTCCAAAATAAGAAGAGGGCTGGCACACGGCTGATCTCGTCTAGTAGTATAAAACCCGAAGAAGTTTCCGCGGAAGAAATGCCAGAGGTTGAGCCACTATCTGCTGCACGGTGCCGGGTTTTCCAAAGAGCTAATAACAACCGAAAGGTACTTGAACTAGAATTTGCTATATTGATGTTATCCTGTTCTTGTTTGCTTTCCTGGAGCTCCATTTCATATAACTGATGCATTGAGAAACTACAAGTTTAGGCTAGCCTGTTAATTTTGCGGATCTTTGCCTTGGATTACATTCCCTCATCATGTTTCCCGTTTTTTGCTTCTTTAGAGAACACCGGATGAAGCTGTAACTCACCGCCTGACAAGAGTATCTCACCATCCTTTAGCCATGATACAGAGTTTGAATGCGTTAAGGGTAATGCTTATGATTTGTTTTAAATTGATATGGTGAACTCTCATCTTCAGTATAAAAAATTAGCGGGTAATCAAATATATTACTGTCTTTCTATATCTATGACAGGTGGTAGAGGAGCCCAAAAGTTTTTCTTCGTTTAGGGAACGACTGTACCACTTGCAGGCAAGTGTAATGTGCTTTTCTCCCTTATTTGCTGCTTGGAGAGTTCCATTGAGTGGTTTCGAGTTCTAACCTGTCTCTTTGGGCACATTATTATGATAGAAAACCGAACGCACTAGAGTCTGCTTTGGGAGATCAGGTATACATGGATGGGGCCTCTTTGCCCGGAGGAACATTCAAGAAGGAGAAATGGTATGTTGCCTCTTTCGGTCTTTAGGAGTAACTATTGTTCTACTTCGGACTGGTGACCTGAATAACCTTTATGTGTCATGGTAGTGTAATTCATTATTGTTATGAAGGGAGACAGAGATATGCATGTGTCCTAATCAAGATGCACTGGAAAATTCCCAAACGTGATATGACGAGCAAATCTATATGGATGTATCCAGGTTCTTGAATATCGAGGTGAACAGGTGAGGGGCAGTATTGCAGATCTGAGGGAAGCACGCTACCGTTCAGAAGGAAAAGACTGCTATGTGAGTCCCTGCATTATTGTTCTTCACTTCTTTTACTATATATAGTGGCACAATCTTCTGGTGAACTCGGTAGCTCTGGTTCCCTTTCATTCTGGTGGCTTGCACTGCTTCATTCCTTCCATGTTTCGAGAAATAGATGGTTGTTGAGTTCTTTTCTTTTTCTGTTTGCAGTTATTTAAGATCAGTGAAGAGGTAGTTGTGGATGCAACCGATAAAGGAAATATAGCACGCCTCATTAACCATTCAGTAAGTTACCTGTTGTTTTCCCCCCTTTTTGCATCACCTCTGCTCTTCCAAGCCAATGAAGTAGTACATTGTGATCACTGTATGATGATGGCTTCGAATTTTGTTTGGTTCGATTGAATTCAGTGTATGCCGAATTGCTATGCAAGGATCATGAGTGTGGGTGACGATGAAAGTCGCATCGTCCTCATCGCAAAGACAAATGTATCTGCTGGTGACGAATTAACGTATCTCTCTCTCTCTCTTTCTCTCTCTCACATAGGTTTAAAATGAGAATCCGGATGGAATGATTGATAATCTTTTCAATTTCTCTGGTTTTTGGTAGGTATGATTACTTGTTCGACCCTGACGAGCCGGATGAATTCAAAGTCCCGTGCCTGTGTAAATCACCGAACTGCAGGAAGTTCATGAATTAGGGGTGGATCAAACCATACAGCTACACCAGCAGAGTTCAACTGATATATTGTTTCTCCGCAAGGAGCACACTAACACACCAAATTGGCAGCTGCCGGAAGGATAACAGGATTTTGTGATTTTGCCAGAAAAGGAAAGGGGAAGTATAGTAGCTTTTGTCTTGTTTTCTATTTGGCGTTCTGCATCTTTTTTTTTTTTTTTTGTCGAGCGTGATAATAAAGCTCTCTATAGATCAGTGTTTTGCTGCCACATGTAGCTTGGGCGCTCTTTTGTAAATCTAACTGCTACGATTGCATCATATAGTTCGAAAGCTAACCCCAACCGACACACCTTACCTCGCCGAACGTTTTATTTTTACCGATTTGAAACGTTTCATTCGTCCGATCACAAACCGCATGAATTTCATTTCATTAATCCCGTTACCTTAACATCAATTCGTATAACAGGCTCATAGTTCCAATTGTAGTTAGTTAAGGCACACTATTTAACTACCATCAAATGGGACAAGCATTCCAATCATAGATTTAACCCGTTGTCTACATTACTGGGCCAAAATATCCATCCAATAGACCCCCTCTTAGTTCATAGATGGGCCTACCATTTCATTAATCGGACCACATGGGCCCAAATATCTACATAATAGGCCCAATGATGGGCTACCATCTCATGAATCAGACCATATGGGCCCAAATATCGACATAATAGGCCCATCATTGAGAATGTTGGGCCCAAGAATTCACGACCTGGCCAATGGGCCTCTCAATTTCAAGACCTGGCCCATGGGCCCCTCGATTTCAAGACCTGGCCCATGGGCCACAAGACTTCAAGACCAGGCCCATGGGCCACAAGACTTCAAGACCAGGCCCATTCTACGAAAAGGACTAACCTTATTTATGTCAAAAATAATAATAATAATAATAAATAAAATGACTAGGTTAACGTTCCACTTATCCCAAATGTAGTCAAATTAAATTAGTCCCGCGCACTTAGCCCATGATTAGGCCACATTTCACTTATCTGAGAACCGAGTCCAAAAATTCCTGCATCTGGACAATTTCTCGATACATTTACTTACCCGGGCACGGAGGCCCGGACTCCCTAATACCAGTGCAAGTGTGCAACTGAACCGAGACCTATGACCCAAATTACCAAATTAAACTCGTTTTGTCACCCTACCCTGATGCCTATGGGTTAAAACTTAAAATGCATCTCACTCGATTCAACTCAAAGGACCTTAAAATGCATCCCAAACAGAATAAACCCAAAGCCAAACATATTCCCTATCGTTGTCTGCACTATAATGCATACATCAACCCAAAAAAAAGAACTTAAGTGCAGTTCACTTGCCCTATTGCCCCCAAAATCTCAAACCAAGACCATCAACCAAAACAAGTATTTGCCTATCAAACCTAAGGATGCATTGATCATTTTGACAAAACTCATCTTATGCGCAGACACTGATGACCTCAATACCCTATCGAGAAAACAAGGCACAACACGAAAATGTAAAAGCCTACCATATACCTTACCTGTCAACTGGAGCTGCCCTGAGGTCGAAATGCTGCCGCCAAGCTGCAAAACAGAAAAGAAAACTGGAAAAGAAACAGAAAGATAGACCACCCCGCTTACCAGCGGGGAAGAAACAGTTTTATTTCCTCGGCTAAAAGAGCAACAAAAGCGGAAAAGAGGGAAAGGGAGGGAGATGAGAAAGAAAAGAAACATGGGATCATAGAAATATTAGTCTCAATGTGTACTTTCAGGAGAATGATGTATCCGACTTAATAATACCGACTCATCAGACTCATTCGTCCCCCCAGGCATCAATCCCTCAGTTGCCCTGGAAGAACACCCATCATCATCTTCCACTAAAACTAATGAACCGCCGCCTGCAGAGCATTCCGCATCTCTCACCTCCATCTTCTCTTCTTCGACATTTTTATCTGTGCTACCGCTATTACCTTCATCGCCCTCCTCCTGACCATCGGTAGGCAAAAGGGAACCTCTTCGAGGGGGATTATCCGGTACCGAGTCCTCGTACATTGGGGCATCAGACGACCTTTCTTCTTCATCAACCTTCAACCCAACAAGGCATTCCGATGGAATATTCCCCTCCACGTCAGAACGAGGAGTCTCTTCATCCACAGTCTCTAAATTTCGTGCAGTGGTATCAGCACAAACAGGAACCGCCTCTTCTGAAGGAGTTGTTGCAATGATCTCTTCTATCTTGGCCACCTCCGTAGAAACCAGCGAAATGTCATCAACAGGTACTTTTTGTTCCACATTCAAGGCCGGTGGTGCATCAGCCATTTCTATGTCGAGGTTGGAAGTGAGAGGTTCCTCGGCTTTCTCCCCATCTTTATGGGTAATGGAATGCTGCTGCTGCTCCTCCTTCGGCTCAGATGATGCTTGTATAACATCAATTATTCCCCCTTGTATACATGGCATACCAGTTGCTCTCTGCTTCGTGTAGATGCCCAACGCTCTCTACAAGAAACAAGCCCCTAAGAGTCAAACAACTAACCCAACTAAGCATAGCATTACTGTGGATAGTCACTATTTTTACCTTGAATATTGAGTCACTGGAAGCAGGAAAGAGCGCGTTACTGAAGAAGACACTGGAATTTTTAGGCACTGCCCTCGCACCATCCTATCATAGAAGAATACACGCAACAGAAGTACATTTGAAGACATTAGAAAGAATAAAGAGGATACAGGAAAAGCAAGGAAAAATATGAAAAACTAAGCTCTTAAAGAGTTCGGATATTTTACCTTCAAATTTATTAGCACGTCAGCATCTTCATCAACAGATGCATTGACTTCAACCTTCAACAATTCCATACACCGACTATACAGATCCGAACTAGTAAGTTCACTAGAAATGTCCACCTTAGATAGATAGGCATTGATAAAATTACTGAAATGGTCTTCACTCGAAGTTTTAGGAGGGTCAGCAGCAATCCTGTGGTGGGAAGTTGTCTTGAGGTGAGATTTAGAAGATTCTTTGACTGCTAAGTCAGCAGGAGGTTTACTTTCAACTGCTTTTGCCTTCGAACCATCTTCAGAAGTCTCATTCATCAACTTTTGACCGGCTGCCAGTACAACCGAGTTATCATCAACAGGAGCCTGAACTTTGTTGTCCTCCTTCAAAGACTTGGAGGTCAAGTCTGTGGTGATATCACCGTTTTGTCCCTTCCAGATATCCGAACTCGAATCCCATCCATGACCATTCATCGCATGCCTATTCTGGTTCCATTCTGGACCACCAAACATATGGCCATCATCCCTAAATATACCATTGCTACTGCCATCCCATCCATGTAAGTGAGAAGAACCGGATCCATCCATCATGTTCTGCCATCCCAGAGGGCGCAAATGACCAGAAAACCTGTCAGCATCTGTGATATGATAAGGGATACCAGAATGGCTTAGCTCCATTGAGGGTCTAACAAACAAAGATGGATTTGGAAAAGGAGACAGCATAGGCGGAAACCCCCCATGATGAGGTCCATGTTGAAAAGGGATGAATCCATTAGGCAGAGGTGAAGGCCAATTTGGAGCACCCCTCCAGGCATTTACTTGACCTCGTCCCATGTTGAGATCGCCCGTCCTCTTGTAGCGACCACTGCTGGTGCTGAGCCTACCATCATCATCAAATGAACCCAAAAAGGAAGGGCTATTAACCCCACCCCTGATAGATGATGGGGGAGGATTCAAAAGGGAATTGGGCTGACTCGATCTATTGTAAAAGGAAGAACCATTTAAACTAGAATCTTCTTTCTCCATTGGCAAATCCCGAACTGATCTTTCTTCAATAGAAGGCACATCTCTAGCTCCCATCGACCCACTGTTCCTTCTTCCCGACTCGTCAATCTCAAGGCTCCTTCTGACATTATTTCTGCCCATATATCTACGCTCGAGGCTATTCGACGTTGGAGATCTTTCCACTAGACCCATCGGTGAAGCTTTGGAGCTAGTGGTCCTCTCCAAGGGCAAATCCGCCGAGTGGGCATCATCCATTTTCATAGGTTTCTCGGAGGATCTAAGCTTAGAAGATCTGTCCGATCCTCCAGAAAACAAACTAGCATCTCTCGAGTTATTTGTTCTGGGCCTCTGCTCTGGCCCATCATCTCTGTACCTCACATCTTCTGCTTTGGCAAACCTGTGAAAGAGAGGAACAAATTCAATGACATCCTATGGTCACCTCATGAACAGAATCAATGACACAAAGTATCATGAAGGGGAGGAAAACATCAATTATCTAAAGTGGAGATTGGGGAGTACAACCACATTATTCTGATCAGAAATATGAGAAGTAAAGCATTCAAGCCAAAAAAAATTCCACCAAGAAAAAAAGGATTTTGCAAACGGAAAAAGACTGAAAAGGCAATCAGATAACCAAGCCTGACTACATAATTAAACTACTATTTAGTTGCCTGATTACCTATATTCATCTGCAGCACCCTGAGAACTGATGACTGGAGAAGCTCTCCTCCTACTTCCACTGAAGTTATTTTCATGGTGTGATTGACGTGACTGGGACCTTCCCCTGTCAGCATCTCCTTCAATCCTACTGCCACTAGGAAATTTATTATCCACATCTGTATAGGATCCTCTACTACTTCTCAATTTCACATCATCATCAAGATCATCAGGAGACCTCTTCCTAGACCTGCTTTCTCTGTTCCTATCTCTTCTATCATCAACATAAAATGAATCATAGTCCCGGTCTCTATCTCTATCTCTCTCCCTCTCACGATCCTTGTCACGTTCTCGATCTCTTTCCCACTCCCAATCGTGGTCTCGATCATTTTCCCGATCACGAACACGCTCGCGATGACGGTCACTTTCCCTTCCTCGCTCATAACCACGGTCACGGCCAATATCATGCTCACAGTCACGATCATAATCACTGTCCCGATCCCGGTCGAACTCAATGTCCTGGGTCTTGGATTTCTTGTGCCGAGAACCTGTACCATCTTGCTCATCCCTAGAGTGCTTATCACTAGACCTGCTATTTATATGATCTCTTGGAGGGCGTTCATCTCTTTGCTTCTCATCTCGATGCCTAGTTTCACCTTCATGGTTCTTATCTCTATATCTTGCATCCTTAGTAACATCATCCTGGTACTTATCACCATCACCAGAACCATCTCTCTTTCTCCTAGGGCGTTTCTCAGGTATGTTTTCAGGCTCTGGGTCGTGCAATGTGTCCGGAGCTTTGAGCACTGCATCAAGAGAAAAAAAAGGGTAAAGCTCAGGTTAACTAAAATGCTAAGGTAGCACGATACACATAGAAACATGCCCCGACACAGCACTTAAGACACAGAAAACAAATAATCACGAAGACTGGATGGCGAACCAACAAATCAGCAGTTAAACATTCCAAAAGAATTTATGCAGGCAACTATTGAAAGGGCTAGCTCAAAGCAGATCAATAAGGAAACTGAAATCATCAGACAATTATCAAAAAGTTTGGCCTACCATTAAACAAACTATTCTTTGCATCTAAGAGATTGACATGCTACGAATAACTAGGAATGGGTTTCAATTTCATCTACAGCTATTTTTCATCATCTTCACGACAAAATATCTGTGACGACAAGGCTTACAGATATCGACCACAGAGTCACACAGCTAAAAGCAAACCCAAGAAAACATAGAGAAACTAAGTCTTCAATGGCTGAAAAATTAACTTCCTGTGATATAACAAATTCAATTGTCAATGCAAAATTGCACTAAGAACAGAACTCAAAAGCTACCACTATTTCTCTGACAGAGAAACACAACAACATTGCAACACGACACAAGTTCCCCAGAGATTACACTTACGCCTTTAGCACACGCATAAAACTAAAAAGCAATTTCCATCTTCCAAAAAGTAAAAAGACATTTCCCATACCAGCTACGATTGAACGTATACTAGACAACAATCTAATAGAGCATCACCAAATCATTGACATTGAATCATTACAAAATACACAACCAATAACCTAAAACAGCATCACCAAATCATTGACACTGAATCATTACCAAATACAAAACCAACCTAAAAGAGCATCATCAAATCATTGAAACTGAATCATTATACAATACACAACCAACAATCTACATAATCAAGCATAACACAAACTATTCATTATTCAACTAGTTACCTTACCAGTTTTTTCAAAGACCTGCTTCCCAGAACGCAAGTCCTCGCCATCAATCAACTTCTCGCTCCTCGATTCTTTACCCTTCCTCTCCCTATCTCTCTCCCTATCCCTGTCCTTATCCCTTTCTCTGTCCTTGTCCCTATCAGCCCCATCCTTTCTGCTACTCGACTCCTTATGCTTCCCTTCACTCTTCCCACTGCTCCTTCTCCCAACAACCTCTTCGTTCTCACCACCACCGTTTCCAACATTGTCATCTCTCTTCAAACTCCCTTCCCGCCGCTTGCTGCTCTTCGATTCACTCAACTTCTCCTTCGACTTCTTGCACACATCGCCCTTGCCATCCTCACCGCCATTCCACCTATCGCTCCCACCGTCCTCCACCCTGTCCTTCCGTCGCTTCGAGGAAGAAGAATATTCCTCCACGTACTCCCCGTTGCCAGAGCCAACGCCATCCTTATTCTCCTTCGAATCCAATTTCCGCTTCTCTCCGGACTCCTTCAAAACCCTAGAGGAACCGCTCTCCTCCTTCGACTTCCGCTCCTTCAAACTCGCATCCTTCTCCGAATCCGAGTAGTCCCTCTCCTTCGCATCCTTCGAACTGTGCTTGCTCGACTTGTGCCGCGAACTCCTCGGCATCGCGGAACACTCGAACTCGACTCTCTCTCCGATTCCAAATCCAATACGCCAAAATAAAATCAACCTAATCGCCAACTCAACTTCCCCGTAGTTCTCCTGATATCAATCCCGTAAACCTAATTCACTATCGTCCTCCCAACCACTGACCGAATCTGACAGTTATGAGAGCTCCGATTCTGGAAACCTCCCGAAACCGAAACCCTAACTGCAAGGCCGACGAGCATACGACGAACACGAATGAATATCAGGAGACACCGAAACCCTAGCCGGCGGCAATGTCAGCGGCGGCGGAGGAAGGGCGTAGATCGCCGGGGAGCGGAGGGATGGCGGGATGGAAAGCAGGAAGAGAGAGAGAGATCGAGTACAGAAAGATAAATTGTGTTTGGGAAGAGAAAGAAAAGGGAGGCGTAGAGTGGAGGGAGGGAGTTGAGGAAAAAAACAGGTGGAGTTTGTTTTGGCCTGTTTATCTCTGGTTTTGTGCGTGTGTTAAACTTAAAACTCCGCGACTGCACGGCGACTTTGGGAGGTAAAAAGGAGAAATTTGGCAGAGCAGGTTTGACGAAATTACCCGCGGCAGGTCCGCCTTATTACGTTTCTGTTCATGTTTCCCGCTGGAGACTGGGGTGGCGTGTGCGCTCCAATGAATATGGGGCAGCAAGGCGTACGGATAATACGAAACTATTGTCCGCGCAGATAGACTTTCTTAATCCGCCAAATGCAAGAGAAATGAAATGAGGGTTAGTGTTTATTGATCGCTATTATGCAAATTTTCACTCTATACCAGCCGTCAGATTCCGTTAACTCCATTTTTTTTATGATATGGCAAACAGTGAATGGGTTGTTAACTTGACATGTCAATTTAAAAAAAAAAAAAAAAAAAAAAACTTATTCCCTTATTTTTATCCAAGAAGTGATCCCCTCATCGTCGACGCAGGTGAAAAAGCCACAAGACTACACCAACAATAACAAAGCCATCTCCAAAATCCTGTGAGGCAAGCTCTTCGTCTGGGTTACAAGGTCAAAATGTTATTCATCTCCTAAATTGACTCGACCCCACCCGACCCTTACAAGGCCAAAAGATTATCCGATCTTAAACTGACCCTATACTCAAACAAACATAGCCCGACCCTCAGGGTCGAAACCGGTCAGGACAGATTAGGTCAAGCTTACACCCTACTTCTGAACACAATAAGCATAGACAGTAGATATTACCAAATTGAAGAAAGAAGAGAACAAAATTGAATCTCTTGCCAAACTTTTTCTTTTCTTTTTAAGGCAAGTCTTATACCAAAACTTGGATATCAGAAATACACAAGAAATTCTACAGCTGTAGCTAACAAGAGATCATTACAAAATGGTTGGCTGAGGTGGTTAACAAACAACAATGAGAAGGCAAAAGTTGGTACAATAGAAGGAAGAGCAGCACAGCCAAGTTTCTTCCACAGGCAAGGCATAGTTAGTCTCAGATCAAACCCTGACGCTGCAGATCGGTGAAGGTCTTCTTGTTATAGATGTTGCCCTCCTTGTCTTCGTACTCTTCTTCAAGATCCGGACGCCACTTGTTTATTCCTTGTCGCTCTTGAATCCTTTTCCATAACTCCTTCGCTTCCTGCGTCGAGAAAGGAGATGTTTTAGACTTCTGAACAAAAGGGAAGATCTTTTCGAAGCATTTTGCTGGGAAATTCAAAGGGAGCTTACTTCGATGGATGTGATCTCGTTGAAGTTCTTGGTGTTTGGAATGTTTAGGCAACGCATCCCGTGTTGATGCCTAAACTCCTTGAAGTGGCGCTCATAAGCTCTACGGCCCCAGTAACTGTAGTTACCACAGATCTCACACTTGAATTCCTAAAGAGGTGAAAGGAAATTAGCGGATGAGATTTATAACCCAAAATCAATCAGCGCATCCATCAAAACCAGAAACGAACAGGTCTACCATTATATAATATACGGTCATAATATGATGTTAGTAGGTTATAAGCAAGTTGAGCATAGCAGCTAAAAAGCAGACGAATATGCTTAAATGTGCCACAATTCATTAGTTCATAAGCTAAGCAAGTACCTGGCCGAGACCGTGAAGCTTATACAGCCAGTATGGTATGGGCTTTCCATCCCAGCCCATGGGCAACTTGAGAGGGTTGTAAATTTGTTGGTCATCATCGTCACTTTCACTTTCTGCTTGCATCTCCTCCTGCCACAACAACAGTTAACCATCAGTCAACTTGCAACTACAAGACGTATGACAAAGCAAAGAACAGGAAACCTCAAGGAAAAGAAAGAATAACAGGATTCCAAGGAAGGATAGTGAGAGTAGTAGTAATAATGGAGCTTTACCTCCTGACGTTCTGATTCCATTTCCTCGTATGTCAAAGCCTGCTTCTTCTCAACATTCTCTTTTGTCCTTTCGATTGTCTGAAAAGGGTCATGAAAGAATCACAATTACACATTGCCATCCAGAAGAAGGGGGAAAAGTACTTCGAGCTTCGGCAAAATGCAAGGTACTGTGCACTTTGCAGGCTTCAAAATTCAGTACCTATGCATGAAGAAAACAGGTACTGTGCAATAGAGACATACCTCACTCAATAAGGTACACAGTTTGATAATTTTGGCCTCCATCAAGGCAACTTCCTTTGAATTGATGTTCTCCTTCAAAGCAGCAGCTCCATTCTGTACTGGGACTCGTGAACCCTTGGCAAAATGCTTCTTCTCCAATTTTTCCAGAGGAAAATGCTGCAAATGATAAAATAGGACGTATAAGAACTGTCAGCTACATCATATGACTTGCTTAGGGGAGGAAAACCTTGGTTATAGTAAGCAAATGCAACACAATTGTAAGAAAGCAACCTTCGTGAGGAAAAGTCTTTCTGCACGTTGCTGAAGAGTACCTCCAGTCTTTAATCCCAATGAAGCCAATGCCTGACAAATGAAAATATATCAAGCAAGTATCAACGAAAATCCAAAGTTTCGACATTCACAGAAGTAAGACACCTAAAACAAAAATAAGACAGAAGTAGACTATAAGCAAGTTAGCAACTGTTGTTGTCTGGAAGCATTCATTTGTCCTCTTCTTATTTGCCTTTTCTAATTTAAAGGCTCCATTGCATTAAGAATGCAGGATCAGAACCAGCTAATTAATGGTACTGACAATTAATAGTACCATGTCATATTGTTGTTGATGTACTAAATGCAAGAGAACCCCTCCCAAAAGCATATATTGCCTACCAAAAGAAGAGCAATCAGCACACCACAACCTAGGAAAAGCAACCATAGAAGCAAAAAGAACATACTTACTTCCTTCAATTTTTCAAGACCCACTTGCATCAGCTCTTCTACTGTGGTGTAATAATCAAGATCAATTGACGTGTCTTGAGCTGGAACAGGGCCAGTTTCCTGACCTCCACCCCATCCAGGCACCTTGCCATCTTTCCACTGCTCTTCAAATTCAGTTACAACCTGTTCAAGACAGTAGAATGTTAGAGAAGTGTGGGACTGAAGAGACCGAGTCAATATCATGAAGAAATCAAAGTAACCACCTAGTTTAAGCAGATGTCTCTAAATCCTTAATAGAGTGGTCAGAGCACACACACAGAAACATTTCATCTAGAACGACAAAATTTTAACTTTCTTACTTCATCATATGTCCCTTAATGTATATATGTGTGTGGAAAGTAGAAGTCCAAGTGCATATCACTAAAACAGCAGTATGACCACCCAAAATCAACTGCAGACATGTCTACAAAGACCTTTGAAGAGATTCTATCAAGATCCAGAAATGGTTTTATCAAATATATTTTCTAGTAAGTAGTAACCAAATCTCACAGCTTTAGCATCAATCAACTACAGGACCTATAATGCATATGCAAAGTACAATAGCCGTCAATAACAGAACTATGTACGATTATGAATTGAGCAGCTTGCATATATCAAAACAGCAGTATCACCACACCGGCACACCCAAACTCAAGACTAACATTGCAGAATATTTCTACCACACCTTTGAGAAGATTTTATCAAGATCTTGCAATGGTTCTGTACGTTGGAAAAAATAGACCAGATACTCCAACAGATTCTGTGTGTATTCCCTGTATTGCCTGCAAATAAGAATCGAAACTATGAGAAATCATGGAAAACCAACATCTCAGAACACTACACATGTCGATTGAGCTGGCCATAACAATTAATTGGCCATGTAGACACAATCAGATAACGAGAACCAAAGAGAAATTACCTGGTCAACTTGAGTTTCCGGTCGATTTTCTGTGGTTGACTGAAAAGATTGAGATAAGTTGAGTACTCAATGTGCGAGTCCTCGGATTCTTTTTTACCACTACGGGGCATCCCAAACTTTGCATTGATGTACTGGTTGTAAAGTTCATGCAAGTCAAGATATTTCCCATGGGCTTCCTGAAATGTGAATTTTGATAACCCAAAGTGCAAATGAGAGCCAAAATCAAAATAAACAACGGAAAACTTTAAGAGAAACCAGATGTTAACCTATTATAATGAAACAGATGGACAATTGACATTATCATAGCCAAACATTCTGACTGCTAAGGTTCGCAACCAGAAGACTCCTTGTCCTGAACACTCTATGGACCCAAATATACAGGTACTGATTCACAACAATTCAATGCCTAAAAAGGGTTAGCAACTTGGCCTAATAAAGACACACTGAATGCTCAACTCAAAACCTTACTGTGGTACGAACTGAAACCTAAATGAAGTAGGGATGAAGCTAAAGGACAGGAAAGACGGTCATGTAACAATAACTCGAAATAAGGCTAACTAGTACATACAATTCAAAGTAAGGCATCATGCCCTTTTTTTTTCTAGCAAAAGCTATGGAAGTGGGAAGAGAGAGAGAAAGAGAGAGTTACCTCGCCAGTAAACTCAATGACAGGTTCTTCTTTCAACAGTGCCTCGTACTGCTCCTCAACATCCACAACACGGGCTGCCGGATGCCTTCTATGGTAATCTCGAATCTAACAACCAGACAATTCAAACAACAAGATTCATTAGCCTTCAATTCCAAGCTTCCACCGCAATTCGAGTATCATCAGGCCATCATCAATCTAGATAACACAACCTAAACCATGTTCTTATTCCATGTTAAGAAAGCAGATGGTTCAGTACATTACCTCTTTCAGTCTATCATAAAATGCACTAAACACATTAGTTCCACTAGCCGTCTGGCCTCCCAGGGCAGCAATCTCGTCCTTCCTAGCGTGATCCTTATCTTCGTAAATATCAACCTGAACTAGCCATAAGCAATTACATTCAGCTAACCTAATATTAAGCGTAGAAAGTCGAAATTCGGAAAGAGAGCGGTTCCAAAGGATAGAGAGAGGGGGGCATTACCAGTTTATGGCTGGTAGAAACAATCGTGTCGATCATGTTACGAACGCGGTGGCTCTGCAAGAGACGGTCCTTGCTGGAAGTAAGATCGTTCTGAAACTCCTTCACTATCAGCCGCTCCAGCCGCTCTACTTCCTCGTGCGACGCCCGAGTCGTCTCCAGCAGAGTCGAAGACATCTTCCCTGGTTGACTCCGGCCGGCGTCCTCTTCTTTGCTGAGCAGAAGTTCGCCGTCGACCAGCTAGCTCTCCTTCTCCGGAGCTAATATCAATGGATGTTAGGGTTCTCTCGCTGCGGAGCACTTCTACCCGCAGTCGAATGAGTGAATCGGCTCCGGGGACCGACGAAGAATCAGATAATTGTTTCCCTTTCCGATTCCGTTTCCAATTTAACGGAGATGGCACCAAAACGGTGCGGTATTGCCTATAACGAATACTGCTTTTAAGTTTACTGGTTGGAATTGTAAACGAGTTAAAGTTCAGGTACTACTAAGCAATTATTTAACGCGAAACTAGAGTTGACAGAGAAACTGCGTGTGCCCCTCCACTCAGCAAGATTTGCCTTCTGGTTTTTCTGATCGGGTGAGAGGAAAAGGAACTCGCAGAGCAAGCTGAACGGAAGAAAGATGAGGAAACTGAAGCAGTTCATAGCAGGGGATGAGGATGGCGACAGGGGAGAGAGCTTCTTGGAGGAAGATTCAGATGGGTCTTGTTCCCTCACTGCAACACAGGTTTTCTTTCTTCCTCTCTGCTCTTCTTCGCTGTATAATTCCATCGGTTCTGCTCCTCGATTGATCCAATTGATTCGAGGATCGATATCACTGCGAGCTGCTTATGGGGTTCTATATTGGTGCAGAGAATGTACGCATTCGCGGCTTGCCTGGCTGCTGGTCTGGCTTTCATGTTTCTGGTAACCAATCCTGCCACCATTCTTTTGGATTTCAGCCCATTTGTAAATAAATAAATAAAAGTGGATTTTTATGGGTTCATGGCAATTGGCAAGTAAATTTGGAACTGAGGGGTTTCTAATTCCAACTGGGATAGAGGGTGGTCATCTGCTCTCTGCAAGTGACTCCTGCCATGATTTGGGGGTTGTTAAGCAATAAGAATGAACTGTGTCAATGCCCTTCTATGCTTTCAATTTTTACTCATGAATTGTGTCGATGTCAAATGTCTCTATGAGGAGTTTTCACACATCCAACTAACCATGAGGAAGATGCAAGCATAATCTTTCTAGACAGAAGTTCGACCTGCTAATGGCTTTTTTTCTATATGGTACTATGTTGCAGTCATTGATTGTCTTTGTGAAACCCATCAAGTTCGCCTTGTTGTTCACTTTCGGCAACATATTTGCTGTTGGAAGGTATGTCTGCATGTTGAACTCTTTTCAATAGGTGAAGAAATAAAATAAAAAAAAAGCTAAATGTACAACTGTGTTTCCATTGTTTGACAGCACAGCCTTTCTCATTGGAACTGGGCAGCAACTGACCATGATGTTTGACTCCACCCGTGTATATGCAACTTCCATATACCTTGGATTCGTCGTTATATCACTTATCTGCGCTCTTTTGGTAAGTTCACATTACCTGCTCACCTGAAACATTGAATCTGCCTGCAACGTTTAATCAAACACCGAACCCACCTTCAGTTTCTCTCCTTGTTTAACAATGCAGATCCACAACAAGATTTTGACACTGATTGCTATACTGTGTGAAATATGTGCCCTAATTTGGTAAGTTTGCTTTTCCCTTGCGAGTGGAATAATGAAGGGGATTGCATAGACTTGAATGAAGCTTCTTCATTTTGTGTTTGTATAGAAAGTATGCAGGATGCTTATTCATAGTGTGGCCTTGTGGTGTTTCAGGTACAGTTTGAGCTACATTCCTTTCGCTCGAACAATGGTGTCCAACTTGATGGTTCGTGTCTTCGACACAGAACTATGACCAACCAACCCGCCATTTCTCTCTCACCAGGAGTTCCATTCGGCACACCTTCCCTAGCAGCTCTCTTGGAAGCAAAGCCATGGCTCTCACCGGACTTTCTACTTGTATGCCGTCAGTGCCATCATCAAACTAGCTTTTCGAGCTTGGTGCTCCCAGTTTTGTGAACCCGATAAAAGATAGTGTCCTCCCTTCCTCATTTGTATTAACACAATCCCATTTGAGTTCCTGGGGAGAAGAAATGCATCACTCTCGGCTCCTTGGTTCTTGCTGTGTGCAAATGCAGTTCGTTTTTTCCTTTATTCCACCTCCTGTCCCCTCCATTGGCATTGTTTATCCTCGGCCTTGAAGTAAGCAAACGAATGGGCCTCGAGTCTCAGAATAGCAAATTGGGCCTCGAGTCTCAGAATAGCAAATTGGGCCTCGTGATCCAATCCGCACCTGCAGAGGAATCTCTATGATGATTTCTAAAACAGGCTCCTCCAGACAAACTGGATTAGCCTATCTCATTAGTGATCATATAGGGAATAAATGAGTTTCACAAAATGAGTTTCTTGGACAGGCAAACTGTGCACACTGTACAGTACTAATATAGCAGCAGAGCAGAGACGACTGACAGTCACAGTAGAAATTGAACAGGTTTGCCTGGATGGGCCAGATGGAAGAAGAAGAAGAAGAAGAAAGTTATTTATATATTTGGCTTCCTTCTGCAGAAATGGGCCCAGAAAATAGACCAAAGGAAAGGAGAAAAAAATAGAAGAAGGGTAGGTGTGATATCAACTTTACACCAAGAAAGAAGCATGTGGAATATCTTTTACTTCCCTATCTTGAGTGGTAGCTACCTACTGAATTACTGATACTCATTTTTGTGTTTGTTGAAATAGGGATCTCATCACGCTCCCTTTACTTTTTCCCACATCCAAACTTTATCACCCACGTTGACCCTTCCCTTCTCTTGGATTCTGATTCTTCCTTTGTTTTCTTTTTTTCCTATCAAAATTCAGAACTATAGGACTGGAATAACAGTACAACAAATTCATTTAATGTGTAATAAAAGTGAGATAATCCACACATCCATTGTCTGTTAGACTGTGACCATGAGGAAACAACCATGGAGTTCAGCTGGGTGGGTTGGTGCAGAACATAAACAGTGATTAAGGCGTGTAACTTGATGTTGTTTTAGAAAGGGGGAAATTGTGTCCATCACAAAAAAAATATTTTAATTATTTGTAAAAAAACTTTCATAAGAAGTTAAGAACCATATGTACAAACTTTCATAAGGTTTGATCATTACTCTTTTTAAAATCGTTTATAATATTTGAAAGAATAATTATATGTATATATACTATACATTAATTAATGTCTAGTGGTCATTACGTTTGTAGAGTATAAAATTAGAACTGTGGGTCATTCCTGAAGAAAATCATAGTCAAACTTGGTTGTGAATAACTTTCATGATAAAACTTGTTTAGTACAGTTTTATTGTTGTGGACTTGTGGTTGCAAACTTGCAATAGAGTAATGTCAATAGGGGTACAATCATAACAACATTAAAATTGAAAACAGAAACATGTTAACGTTGTTATTAAAAGGGGACTAAATAAGTAACTAAACTCGTTTTGTTTTTAGTTGTCAACTTCCAGGACTTTTCATAATTACCAACTACAAATCACACATCGACAAAGTCCGGGAGCAATCTATGATTCATAAGGAACATCCAATCTTAACTAAACAGAGACGTTTTGAGGTGAAATGAACAAATTGTTGTAAGAACTCTGAAATTAAGTGTGCTCAGTGTGGAGCAGTGCAAAGATAGGTGACCTCTCCAGAAACAAGAAAATGTCACGATGTTTTTTTTTTCATTCATGCCAAAGTTATGAAAAAGAACGAGTATATTTTACTTATTCCCCAAGTTTATCAACTTTTTGTTATCATAACGCACCAAAAAAAAACGGTATGTACGGGTTCAAAGTGAGCTATATTTTAATCCTTTGGACTTGGGATGTTATAACTTATTATTATTATAATAATAATAATAATAATAATAATAATAATAATAATAATAATAACTAGGAAGCCAACTGCAAATTTGGAAGTAGGGGCAGGTGGAAGATAGTAAAGACGGCAAACATCACACGACTGCCGAATTATATTTAATCCAACGAAATAAACGTCTCTTATTATTCTTAATTAGCAACCTAAACCTTTGAATCAAAATCATGAATAGAAAATGCTGAGTGGGACAAGAGGGGAATTATATTATTCACTGTCTTGGCTTTATTTGGGAACGGTTAAATAAATAAATAAATAAATAAACAAACAAAAGATTGTGTCTTTTGCCTTCCATTTTTCTTGATTCTTCATTTCTTCTAATCCCTTTCCCCCGGCCTTTACCATGAGTGAAAGGAAGCCGACTTCTCAACTAACCAAACGGCCAATCATCTTCATCAACTTGCCCTCCAAGTTCTTAAACCACTACCGACAGTTTTGCGGTTGTTGGTGACGTTCTAAAGAGAGGACTTGCGGCGGCGACTAGCGGCGGCGTAAGCTGGGTCTAGTTATGGCATCGGGTAGCCATGGCAATTATTTGGGGCGGGTTTCTCGAAACCATCAAATCTCCATTCTTAAATTACCAAAATTCCTATTTGCCTCATACTCATGCAGCCTACTGGGAAGAAATCGCAACATCATTCTCATATCCGCGATTTTCTGGTACCTATGGGTAATACCTGTCTCGTAAGTACTTATATTGCTATATAAGTATATATACACTTAATTCAACATGCATTGCAAACCTTTAGTTATAACACTAAATCTTATATTGTATTCTTTATGGTGTAACCTAGCCATCAAGATATCGGAGAATGTTGAATAATAAGAATATTCCACTTATCTTCGACAGTCCTTCCGAATCTCTGATTCTTCCTAGCTCGTCCCGTACTCAATTCTTTCTTAATCTTCGACTCTTCTAAATCCCCTTCTCATCTCCCAAATTGCTTTATTTCTTCCCTAAGTTACATTCTAAACCATATCATACTTCATCAATTCATGATTGTCGAGATCCATTGTACATAAAAAAAATATATTGCATTAGATTTTTTCCGAAAAATCCGTAAGGACTAGAAGAGAAATAATCGAGTAGATAAATTGTTCATTATTTGTTGTGTGGTATCTTTTTCTTGTACTTGATCATAGTTTCTCGACAAACAACTGTTATTTACTTATTTTATACCGATAATTATTTGTATGGGGACAAATTCTTAAGTATCATAGTTTCTCGACAAACAACAACTGTTCTTTATCAAACACTAACAGCTTATGGTGACAACTGTAGATTCCATTCAAAGATATGCTTATTATAATCAGAAGGGCACTTGCTAGTGACCACAATTTGATTAAACAGAACAATATATTTGAATTTTTATATCATCCCATCAATTGTTTTTGCCGACAATGCGACTTTTCAGCCTATTTATTTATGGTTAATGGTTCATTTCGCCGCGATTGTTGATTAAGAAAACAATAATCTAATGACTCATTAAAAAAATATTATATATAATGTCTCTTCTTGAGTATGTAGCTAGCTAGCCATGGCCATCGAACTTAATTAATTCTTAATTATGTAATAATAATTAACTATTTATAATTCCATGCTAAATATCCCATCTGCTCCGAGAAGCCGCATCTGATTTCTTTCAAGCCGATTTCTAAGTTCTTAACGGGATTAAACTTTGTTAGTTGTTACTGGTAACACGTGTATATTATATGCTAAATTGTTTGAATGGTATTGGTTGGTAGGTTTCTCTTATTATTAAATTGACGTTCGATGATCAACATATTTATGGGTATGCTTATGGTGATTGTGGATTAATTTAGTGTGTTGTGAATTACAATCTACAACTTTTGATATATGTAATTGCGTGTTTCACTTTTTAATAAAAATGTCACTGTGCACTTCGGGTTTTTTTTAACTCAGTATACTTGGTTAAATATGCTATTTCCAATTAAATTTTATATGGACAACAATCAGGTTACTATTATCACTATTATTATTATTATTACAAACAAATGATTATATTGTTATGAGGAATTTTGCAATGCTCATAAGAATCGATGCTTACAGGTACAAATTTGTAAGTTGAAGGTATAGATTCAATTAAAGAAGTTTGTATGAAAATGTTGGTACAAACTAAATTTGTATTACAATATTAACATACAAATTCACTTTGTATCATAAAAAAATTTATACGAAAATATAGATACAAACTAAATTTACATTCAACATTAAAAGTAGAAATTCATTTTGTACCTTAACATATTTTTATTTATATAAACGAAAGTACGTGTGGTTATGACTTATGAGCATATTAGTTGAGCTAAATATGGTTATATGCTAATGCACAGTTATAAGTTATAACTTACAAGACAAGAGAAACGATCAACTGCCTCCAACTAATAATCCATTGGCAAACAGAGTGTTTCCTGTCCTTTGCTGTGTTAATTTATTTATACCGTTTTCCTTCCTTTTTATAATCATTGGGCCAGGGTGATTCTCTGTTATGTACTAATGTTCATAGTTATTGGCCCATTAAATATTTTTCTAATGGATTTTATCATACTTCTTCCTTGAATAATAGATTTTATATTATTGGGTTAGAGTGATTCTCTGTTATGTTGTTTTCTTTTCTTTTTCTTTACGAGAATCCGTGATTATGTTAGTCAAAGATTGTTGTTCGAATTTTCACTAAAAACCAGTTGGTTCCAATGACTCGATCTATTCCGAGAGTTTCAATAATGAATCATATACTACTCACTAAAACACTCTCTCACACGAAAGTCAATCAACTCATAAGGGCTTTCGTTTGCACAGATTGTGACTACGAAAATATCTTGTGTTTCACAAATAAGGGGTCACTGGGATTTAAACACGAGACATATGAGCCACAAAAGGTTCTAATATCATGTCAAGAATCAATTTGTCCCAATAATTCGAATTATTGAGATAGATTCAAAACTAAATCTTATACCACTCACTAACAACTTTCACCAACGATGCTAATCATATTCGATCAATTTGAACCCAAATTTAAAGTATGCAGAGATTTGAGAATTCTAAAACCATTCACTTACACTCCACTCTAAAATTCTGAGATTTTCGTGTTGAAACCAACAATAATACCATTAGATCAAACTCTATTGACCCTCCACTATTGATCTTCAATCCACATACAACTTATATTTGCAAGTTGGTATTAATATCATTTTTCATCAAATTAAACTAAATCATTGTTTTATATCCACCATATCC